AATTAGGGCTCAGTGTGGCTCAGTGGCAGAACACTTGCCTGACATTCTCAAGGCCCCAGGTTTGATCTACAGCACTCCTCCAAAAAGAAAGAAAAAGGAGACAAACTAATAATAAATATCCCACTCAACTCTAGTCTTATCTCAGAAAAGGAAGAACATCTTAAGAAATTCTAAATATTATACACTGGGTTCATACACCAGCAAACACAGTGAGGAATCTGAATCTTGATACCATAATCCATGAACAAAGACTCAGAAGAGCCAGACGACCCCTCGCAGGCCCAACACTTCTTTCAGCTCAGCTGCAGGAATCCCAGGGAGGAGGAAATGGCTGCGGTAAAGCAAGGGATGGAGGCTGGCAAGATGTCTGCCCCCTGCCCCACACTATCTGCCAGACCCCAGCTCTAGGAACAAAAGCTTTGTAAAACAGACTCCAGCTTCACTAAGACACATTAAAGAATTAATTATAAGTAAAGCTGAAGGAGAAAATTAATTTTAGAAACACAAGAGGTTACTTTTTTTTCCTAGAGATGGGGGAGGAAATGGTTATTTTCGTTTTCATCCTGGGGGCACAGGCGGGGAGCTGTCCAGTCGATAACCTGGCCATCAGAACAAGGTTTGTAATTAAAAGGTCAGTGACCTGGAAAGCCAGGGCCCCACTCCCAGAGCTTCTCAGTAATGACGGAGCTATTAAATTAAGACTGTTATGAAATCAATGCTAAAAAAGCTTTCATGGTAACGAGATTCCATTCAAGGACATGCAAACTACCTCATGAAATGAACGTAAATGATAAAAAAGAGAGAGAGAGAAAAGTAATAAAAGAGAGTTAAATTGAAATCTGTGTAAGAATTTACTCCCCCTTAAAATTAACTCCAGTGAGAGAAGCCCTTCACCTCTACCCCATCACCAAGGCTGAGACCATCAGTTAGGTTTCTTCCTCAAGTTCATTTCCAAGCAGGAGGCAGTTTTGCTACTGGAGGTTGGTTTCCAGGAAAAGAAAGATAGGATATACATTCATATTTTAGAATGAAAAAGTATAGTAGTGCATTTTAGTTGCTTAGTTTCCTCCTCCACCCTAGGACTACTTTATTAGATGAAACACGGAGGGGGGGGCCTTTATGTGTACACTTCAGAATGACATAATATGGAAAAAGATCACCCTGGCAGGATTAGGCAGAAAAGCACACAATGGTCATCTTTTCTAGAAGCATGGTCTCTGACAGGTACGTGTCAAGGTAGTCCAAAGACAGTGCCCCACCCCCACCTCTCCTTTTCCACATTAACAGGCATCACTACTTTTGCCCACTTCGCATATAGTAGCCAAGCATGGTTGGGAGTAGACTGCTGCCTGTGCTTTGTGGTTGGATAGGGTGTCAGATCAACATAAGGCTGTTGGCAACAACTTCCAAGCCCTGAACTTTTCAAACTGATTCTACTGCTGTTTTTAAATTACTCTGGCCTCCTGGATTGCAGCCCGCTTACAGCCCCAGATATACTGCCTGCCTGGCAAGAAAGGCTTCTATATATAGACCAGTTGTATGAGGGCCTAAGCCCCACACAGCCCAATTACCGCGATGTGGGGCCGACTCTGTAGTGACTTGTCATTTGCAGAATCCAGCAGCTGAAAGAAAAAACTGAAGCATCCATTCTAATAATCTAGAAGTAAACAGCTGATTTTCCCTTTCATAAAAAAGTTCTGATAGAAGAAATGTTATAAATTATACAAAATGGCGGCAGAAACTTCAAAAAAATGATAAATGATTCTAATAACTCCATGATTTTCATTAATGACTCCATATTCAGACTTTAAAGCACTGAAAAGAGATCTCAAAATAAGAAACCAAAACCCAAACAAGACAGACCTCTGTGAACCAAGTTCTTCCATTCCTAATCCAATCCATGCCCCACTCTTCCCCACCAGACAGCTCAACACGTAACCTGTCAAGAACACAGGCAGATAGATGCAGCCCTGCTTGGGCTGTGGTTTCACAATAAACTCAGTTGATGTGCCCAAAGTAACCTTCATTTTCCACTGAACTGACATGTACTACAGGACCTCAATTTCTTTATTAAATATTAAATAATATTAAAAAAAAAACAAAATTGGATTTGCCTTTTCAGGAAAGAGATGTTTATTAATAAAAAAAAAAGAAGAAAAAGAAAGTCAAAATTATAATTCAAGACAGTGCTCCACTGCAATTCCCTGAAGTGACATTTGCTAGGAAAAGCCGAGGCTATGTACAGTAGCTGGGAGCTCTTCCAAAGCCAGCGCCCCAAGCCCAGCAATGACCCTGCAGGGAGATGGAGAATGAAGATGCCAGAGCCTCAGTCCCTCTTGCCCTGGTGACCAGCAAAGCCAACTCTCTCCCTTTCCATTACTACAGTTAGGGACAGGGGAAAAGCTCCTCCCTCCTCCCCATCAGAGATCCTGCCAAGCTGATCATGTAAGTCTGACTCAACCAAGAAACAGCGGAAATTAAAAAAGTGAAGTTTGAATCTGTGAAGGGGCTCTTCTTCCCCAGATGCTGATCAAACCTTGGAATTCTCTGCCCAGAAAAGGTCCTGCCAGAACTTACTCTATTGGGATTCAACTCGGAAATGGGTAATTACGGACTGAAGCAGCGTTTTAGAGGATAATGGAGATGGGTGATTAGCTTCAGTGATTCTGGGCTTAAGTACAGGGTAAACTTGTGTGGTTCTCTTTAGAGCAAAAGAAGGTAGCCTCTCATGGTTCTGAATGCCCACAATCCTAAAAACTCTAACCTTAATTAGAGGTCCATCCCACCAACAAATATTCATCTCCCTCAAGCCCTTTCTCACATGCTGACCTCTCAGTCTCTGACATGCATGCACACTGTTATTCCACACCATGAGGATAACCCTCACCCCCCATGACAGCTGACTTATCTTTCACTGGCACGTGACACACCATTCACTTCACTATTCCATTAGAACTGAAGATGGGTGAGGCCAGGGTTTTGTCTGTCCTATTGTGATCTCAGCAAATCCCCAGTGGGAAGAGCACAGTATAGCACAAGGTGCATGCTCACTCTTAGGTGAACTGATTTTAATCAATCAGTAGAGCTTAAAAAAAAAAAAAAGCAACAAATAATGACTACACAAAAGTTTCTTCTCTATAGTAATTAAGAGACAAGTGACTCAAAAGACACACATTCTCTCTCTCTCTCTCTCTCTCTCTCCCTCCCTCCCTCCCTCTCTCTCCTCTCTCTCTCTGTGTCTGTCTGTGTGTGTGTGTGTGTGTGTGTGTGTGTGTCTCTTTTCCCTTTTCTCTGTCTCTTCTCTCCCTCTCCCAGTCAGGGATTTATTAAAATTAAACAGATTAGATGGAGCTCCTGATACTAAAACTGCTCAGCAAAGCCTGCGGTGGGGAAGTGCCGAGCAAACACCAGAGACATTTGTCTCTAAATTGCTCTAAATACCTTCTGCAAATGAAATTCTAACCCAGCTGCGTTTGAGAGAAAATGAGGACTAGCTGGTCATTGTCGGTGGAGAAGAAGATCAGACAGTTATAATATTGCACAATATACTGGGCTAAGGATCTCTGGGCAACCATAGATTTTGTCTCAGGTTACCCCGGGTAATCGGCTCAGCTTTTAGGCTCAGCTTTCCCCAGCTTCAATGCTTTGATGAGAGAGCTGAAATCCCTAAGCTTTTATGATTAATTACTCCCCATAGGTACACATATTTCAAGGAAAAACTCTTTTATGGCATGATGCTTGCAGAGTGGAGAGGCCAGCCAACACACTCCAAATTTTAATAATCTCTTAATGATGGGGAGGGGGGGGGGGGGGCGCGAGAATGATGCAGCCAGTCAGCAAGCACGAAGCACCCCTAACCAACTCTGTCCAAGGGACTCAGCCCTGCGGCGGCAGCTAAACAGCTGCCTGTGAATGAAATATTTGGGCTCAATTGAGCCTGGGATACAACCGAGTAAGTGACAAAACAGTCCAGCAGGACCATTTAAGTGAGATGTCACAAGAGCCCTAGGAAATGCCACCAAAGTACTTCACATGTTCTATTCCAGCCAAAAACAACTGAAACACCAGAATTCTGAGGTCAAGGTTTCGGGGAGGGGGTGTGCAGGGGTGTGGGTGTGGGCGTGTGCATGCGTGCGTGCATGCGTGCATGTTTGTGTGACTTGAACTCATGGCCTTACCCTTTCACTTGGCTATTTCATTCAAGGTTGGCGCTCTACAATTTAAGCTACAGCTCTACTTCCAAGATTTCAGCTTTAAAAATAAACAAGTTGTGCTTGTGGGGAAAAGAAAACTGACTTCCCTCACCCCTCATGTAACATAAAAGCCTTTAAACAACTTCCTTGATTTCTAGAAAATTAAATGCTCCATGAATGAAAAGTCTAGTTTCTTTTCTGGGTAACTAGTTGGTTTTATTTCACACACACATTAAAAGAAAATATCCCAAATTCCAACAAAACCAGAATAGATTCTATCTGCTTCAGACAATATTGAATTTGTCAGGATTCATTTTATCCCTGTTATGAAATACCATAAAACCAGTAGTTTACCACTTCAATCCGTAAATCACGCTGGCCCAGGCTTGACCTCACCCTGACCTTGGTTATTCATCTTGTTTCCCCTGTCCATCACTTCTTTCTTCCTCATTCTTTACTGAAGCAGCTGGGCTCCTAGTCTAAAGCAGGTCATTCTGCAGCCAGAGTCACTGACAGAAGAATGGACAACCAGAAAGCAGAAGTTTTCCACAGGCTTAGTCAATGGGCCAATTTTGTTACTGAATACTGCCTTTACCAGGATGGCCTTGGCCTTTTATCTAATGCATGATTATCCCAATTATGTAATCTCTCAGCTCCACTGTTAAGAAAGAAACCTGCATTCCCATTGGGGGTGCTTACCTCAACCAGCCCCCTACCATACATAATCCTTGATGTAAGCACTATGTGCAATTCCATGCTGGATTTTCACCTGCCCCAGCCCCTCCACACAGCCATGGAAACCCATACCTTTCTTCTTAAGAAACGCTCTCCTGGTTGCAAGCGGACTCTGACGGACCCGGGAATTCTGTAGAAACTTCACTGCTGTGGCAATCTGGTGGGCAAGATCAAACAGAGCAGAAGAGCAACTTCATAATCTAATAATAATCAAGATGAAAAATACTACAAGTTCCTAGAGTCACAGAACAAATATTCTGTTGTGATCAGATGTATAACTAGCTATGCTTCAATTTAAAATGTGAGATTGGGTTGTTTCCCTTTCTTCACTGACTTCCTATATCTGAGTCAATCAAATGTAATCTCCTCCACCTAGCTTTCCAAATCCCATCTCCCCTAATTGAGCAGCTGTTTTTTTTCAGTGTTAGACTTGAACCTAAGACCTTGCACATCCTAGCCAAGCACTCAACCACTGAGCTATATCCCAAATCCTTAGTTTTTCAGGACAAGGTTTCCCTATGTAGCCCAGGCTGGCCTCAAATCCGTGATCCTCTTGCCTCCAACTCTTATGTGCTACCTGGTATTCAAGCTGCTTCTTCAACCATGCTCATTCAGTTACTACCTGGTGTCACGCATGCCCTCTTGCTGGAAGGCATTGCCTTCCCACCATTGTCTACACACTTCACACACCAGCAGCAGCAGCAGCAGCAGCAGCAGCACAGTTCTTTTATAGCCCGCTCTGACTTAAGAGTCTTCCCCAAATAAGCAAGCCATCTCTGATCTCCCATTTCTCTTACATTCTTCAATGTTATAGTGTGTACCATATAATTGAAGACATAATTATACTGTTTCCTCAGGTTCAGGCTGTCTTCCCAATCATACTGCAAGCAACTGAGGGGAAGAGACTGTGCCCCCTGTACAGAGAGCATGGCAGAGTACCAAGCATACAGAGGACAGAGGGGCTTGTATAAGAGGGACACAGGTGGCCAAATGCATTGTCCCTTTGAATTCAAAGGGCAAACTTTTAGATTTCCTGGCTAAAAGCTGACAGACTGACAGATTACCTACCTACCTCTAGAAATGAATATTATTTAATGAAACCTTCATATCTACAAATAAGCTGAGTAGGGGATGGAAGAGACACTGCTGAAGATATTAACCTCCCCATCACTCAGCACACTCAGGGCGTGTGCTTACATGCTGCCTGTCTGCTCCACAGCAGACACTGGTCCTACAGGAAGGAAGCACCAGTCTGCCCTAGGTAAAAAAGTGTCTGTTTTAAATGACTGGCACTATTCATCTCATCATAACCAAAAGAATAGGGCTGGGATGTAGCTCAGTGGCAAAGCACTTGCCCAGCAAGTACAAGGTCATGGGTTCGCTCCCCAGTACCAAAAGAAAAGACAAAAGAAATAAAAAGAATAATATGGTTTCCTGTTACTGGTACATCAACAGGCTTTGCAGTTCACTTGCAAGCTGTTGAAAAAAAATTTTCAGGGGCCAGGTATAAAGAAATTTTCTAGGATCCTTAAACTAAGGGCAATAGTTGTACCAATATTCAAGCAGAAAGTGCTGGGACTATAAATAAAATTCAAGTTATAAATCATCTCCTTTTCCATATTTTATATGAACTTAATCCTGAGATCAGACAGGCTTTTACAGAAGGAACGATGTCAAGGCAAATCAGAAAGAAAAAGAAAGACCAAGAAGCTCTTTTATTCTCACTATAATCTTAGACATACCCTGGGCTTCTCCCTCAAGGGTAAGCTGAGTGTCCTAACCTTCCAGATCTGGGTAGGTCACTCATGACACACGCTGGTAGTCCTCAAGAGCCAGGCCAGCCCCCTATGGATGACAACTGCAAACAGTACTGACCACCACACTGGGCTACAATGACAATAAACCAGTTTGAGGAAATGTGGGAGTTTCTAGAACCCCAAAACTGCATACCCACCCTTTTGCCCCTCAACCAGCTCATCTCAGGTTATACTAAAAAATCAGGAAAAATCTAACTACAGAAGGAAAGGAAAGGAAGAAGAAGAAGAAAGGCAGGTCTGGTATGATGTTGTGTGCCTGTAATCCCAGTTACCAAGAGGTAGAAAGTAGCAAAACCTGTCTCAAAAGAAAAAAGAAAAAAAGGCTAAAGGTATAGTTTAAGTGTCAGAGCATTTTTGAATTCTCAGTACAGAAAGAAAAAAGACAGAGAAAGGAGGGAAGGTGGGCAGAAGGAAGGGAAGGAAAAGAAAAAAGAAAAGGGAACATGCAGAGGAGGGAAAGAGAAGACAGGACAAGAAGAAACAAAAGAAAAGTGGTAATGACAGAGAAGGGAGGATGGAGGTAGGAGGAAGAAGAAAGGGCTGGAGCTCTAGAAAATGAACGGACAGGTACATATCCCAGACCCCATGGAGTCAACATCAATCTGCATGGCTAAGAAGGCTCAGGAATAATTGTTCATCATATGGCGAAAAAAAAACCTAAAACATGAAAATGACAGACAGTACTGGTATCATTACAACAGTCTCTGCAGCTGTGATACATGCTCCAGGTACCAAAGGAAATGTGGATGTCCAGGTAGGTCTTAGGCAAGAGATGAGAACAGCACATCTCCTACCACTCACCCTGTAAAACAGAAACCTTCTCTGCATTCTCCAAAATTTCCCGTGACAGAGAAAGAAAACAGAACCCCACCACTAAAACGCCCAGGTTTCCCTTTGCTTTTTTAATATAGTCCTTGGTATATGCATTTCTGGTCAGAGAGCAAAGTTCTGATGGGTTTAATGGTGCACTCAATGCAGTGCTTGGCGCATTCCATCAATTTTTTTTTAAAAAATTGCATCTCTTATTTCTTTAAATACATTAATCAGCCTAGTGTAGGCAAAACGGATCCATCGGACAATGCAATAAACATGAATTATCATCTATCCAACACGCATAATGGCTTAAAAATACATAATAGCAGGTGTAGTTTAAATGATTAGTTATTACACCTGTGGTGGGTCTGATTCAATTGGGAAAAATCATCTTTAATAGGTTAAAAGGTTTAGATCACCATGCTTTCCTTAAAGTGGCTGCAGAGAGGGGATGATGGAGTGCTCTGTCATTAGTAATTCATTTAAGAAAAACATGGGGGATATAGCAAAGAACAGCATAAACGAGCGAATCCAATTTAAACATCAGGTAAAGTAGAAAACACCTTTTAAAAAAGCAAGATAAATGAATTTGGGAGGGAGATGAAATTGACGTATTTATTTTAACGGGAATTTGACAAAGTCCCCAGCACACTTCAAACTTGCAAAAATATGAACAATTTCTTTTAAAGTTTCCATTCACTAATTTCAAGCCATATAAAATAATACTGCCAAACACCTACGTAAAGTGTACTTGGGGCTTGTTTATGTTCCTCCTGATCTTTGTCTGAAAATGCAGTCGACAGGCAAATCACACATTTAACAGCATCCGTATCACTACACCAGCTGCAAAGATAGAAAGCACCCAAACTAATAGCCTCAAGATAATGTGCAGAATAAGAAAGATAACCCAGAAAGCAGCTACATGCAATTGGGAGCACATGAAAATCTTTCTCTTCTTTTCACTAATTATTTCCCAACTACAATCCACTCTTCTCTGTCCCCAGAAGACACTAGCCTTACAATAGGGGGATGGGCTGGGATAGAGCCTGAACATTCTAGAATTTTATAGCCCTATGATTCATAGTTGGTGGTAAAAGATTTCCCCAAACTCCTCACCCATAATGCAGAGATCTTCGCCCACTGAATATCTTGACAAGGGTGCTCAGTTTGGGCCTATTGTTGGACACTTTTCATTAACTTCATGAAGCAATTCAACTGACTTTCTTCTGCAGAGGTCCAACACACACACACACACACACACACACACACACACACACACACACACACACACACACACACACACACACACACACACACACACACACACACACACACACACACACACACACACACACACACACACACACACTTTTGCTGGATTCCATGATGGGGTGCCTGCAGCCTGTCCTGTATTATCATTTGATTTTCTAATTAGAAGATGAATGTGACTATTCATGGGTTTTATTTGTGCCCAACTAAATTACATAAATTCAGGCCAAATCTTCCGCCTCAATGTCAAAGATGTAAAACGGAGCTGGGAACTTTACTGCACTTGTTGTGGGAGTGCAGCAAGCCAGGGAAAATTCTGGCACAAAGCTCCCGATGCCACTGCCGAACCACTTGCTGTGGAGCCCATGATAAATATGGAATCGGCTCTCTTCTCCCCTCCCCTGACACTGATTGAATTCTTAATGAGTGCATCTAGACTTGTCAATAGCTAGTTTAACAAAATAAAGATGACAAAGTCAGGGGGGAAAAAAAAACAGAAGCAAAGTTTCTCACTCTTCCCAAGTCCTCAGACCTATCATCTAACTACCTGCCCCCCAAAATAAAACAAAACAACCCGCTAGTACCTACGCCATAATTTTAGGGAAATTTGATCATCCTCACTGTTTATCTCTTTGAAGGTAGACAAAAAAACTGGGGTGTAAAAGAGAAGAGCACATTCTTGCCTTTGCAGAGTTGTAACAATGGCCACGCAGAAGTCTCTGCCAGCAATTTTGGGGGGAAAAGGGTGAGGAGACTTCAGGTTGCAAAATACCTTTGGATCTAAGGCAATTGGCCAATTGAGAGAGATTTGTGTTTGAGAGACCTGGATTTGTTACCATATAAATCAGTGGAGTACAGCACACTCAGGGGTTATCTGCTGCAAACTACGTGCTGTTAAATGCACTGTGTGGGGTAAGTAATCCCTGGTGGGAAGAATCCAGGTTCCTGACAGTCTCCACTGAAGAGATGCTTCCGATGTGTTTTCCATTCTCCTACGAAAGATCTGCACATTGTAATCTTGAGCGCATACTTTATTTTCTGCTCGAGGGGGACAGAAGAACAGAGCCTGGGCTTTGAGGGAGCCTTAGCACTTTGCACCTGACATGTAAACCTGATGCATTGTCTCCAGTGACACCTATTTGGAATGCCACCAACTCCGGCACTCCTGTGTACTACACACACATCTATCTCCTAAAATGTGAGCATTCATTAGCCATTTTAAAATATTAAAAATATTCAAAAATTAATGACACTTACA